GTATTCGAACGATGTTTCCCCGAGTCTACCTTCTCCGGGTGCGTCACTCACCTCTCAAACGAATGAAATGTGTCAAAAAACAAATTCTATCCATACTCCATCGACCTGGACAAATAATCGCTTCCTTAATGTGGTCGTACTATGTTTCAGGTATAGTGATATACAATTTCATATTATTAATGTACCCCGCAAAGAAGACACATATCTTTATTGAGTGTGAAGATCTCGAATATTGACTTACTCAACGTTAATTATTGAACTGGAATGAATATGGAACATCAAATATACATGTAATACTCGTTATCCTAATTCTTCGTGGAAAAAGTTTCGGGCCTAGCAATAGAAAAGCTTCAAAGTAAAGTCGCATTATGTCAACATCTCTAGACATAATTTAGCAAGTACAGCCACAAATGAGGTCTACTGATAGTTATTTAAACCGTGGCTTACACTCGTCATCACTTAACAAGCTTAATTGAGACTTACAATTGCTACTTATATATTCCAATTACAACGTTTAGTTTAGACGAAGACTAAAGTCTTCATATTATTGTTAAATTCTCATTTAAAAACACATTGTTGTACACATTGATATACAATAAGATGCATGAAACTAAATGCTGTTTTATGTTGGAGCGCAAACAGAATAAGTTTACACGTTATCTTTATTACAGACAGTGTGGCATGTATTCCTAATCTCTCTTAATGTACCCAAAATTATTTGTCTTAAGCATGGTTAAGTACAATAAATTAGAAGCTAGACGGAAGTTACACTTCCTCGAGATTCCATTTAACAAAAACGTTGCGCTGAATGCTGTCTCCGACACTATCGACATCTTTATATGTTCGCAGAGTGAGTCCAAAGTAGCGATATTATGGATTTTATATTGGCAGAGAAAAGATAATATTTTTGTGAATAAAAAAATAAATTTGCAACGCAAAAACCTACTTAATAGGTTCTGAATCCGTCCCTTAAAGATACAAAGATCAGGGCTCGCTAAGCCAGAAGCATTCTAAATAGAGATTATCCTCCAGCATCTGAGCAAACGCAGGCAATAATAAGTCACTGTGTCACAGCTATTAGTTATCCATGTTTTGGCTTGTTGGCATCGCCAGACAGGTCGGCATTGCCAACTAGGTCACCACCCCCAAACCTACATTGACGACTTTATACTTTATCTTCACGCAGTTTTATTTATTTATTTATTTTGTAAACCTACAGCTAACATAAATTATTAACAATAACAAACAGTTACATTAAAAATATTGCCAAATATGGAATACATAATAATACATTTAACTACAAAATGGTTCAAGAATTTATAAAAGGAAACAAACAAATAAAAACTATTCAATACGTTTATCTAAGTGGTACCTAATTTGGTTGTGTTGTATGATGGTGTAAAAGTGAGGGTAAGTACGTGAAGGTGTGTATGTGGGGTATGCTCATGATGCAGGTGATTTTGCGCTATGGATATTCTTAATACTTCTTTTAATCATATTCCGCGACAGCTTAAACAGGTCAAGGCTTAAATATTGGTCGTTGTATGTCCGGGCTGCGCGATACAAAACTATGAGTTCCTTGCATAGTTAGTGTTAATGTGAGGAACATGGAACAAAGCGCGATTACGAGTCTGGTAGGCAGGAACAAGGAAGGGCAATTTTTCTAGAAGGGAGCTACAATTAATTTTATTTGAGATGACGTCATGTAGTAGCAATAAATCATATTGTTTTCGTCGAGAGTCTAAAGTATTAATTTTAAAATGTTCACACGCGTCATTATATTGTAGGTATAAACTTATTGTAGGTCTTATAGGAGATAAATTTTATGAAGTCTTTTTGGATCTTTTCAATTTTTTCTTTGTGTACAGTGTAACTAGGTGACCAAACCGAGCAACCATATTCGAGAATACTTCTTACGTATGTATAGTATAGCACTTTCATACAGTCGACATCATGAAAATGTTCACTAACACGTCTTACAAAACCAAGCTGCTTATAGGCCTTGTCAACTATTGTGTCAATATGGTTATTATACGTCATTTTATAGTCTAACCATATACCTAAGTCACGAACACAATCTACTTCTTTTACAGATTTGTTATTAATATGATAGCTAAAGTTAATTTTGTTTTTTTTTCTGGTGAATGTTATTTTGGCACATTTAGAAGTATTAACCGATATTCGATTTTGTCTATAATAATTGGAAAGGTTATTTAGGTCGGCCTGAATTTTGTGACAGTCTCCTTCTTTGTTTATTTTTAAATATATCTTTTTATCATCACCGAACATAAGGTAATTTGAATCTTTAATGGTACTATTTATGTCATAAAGATATGCATTGTATAACAGGGGACCCAATATAGACCCTTGAGGAACTCCAGAACTTATACGAACAAAGTCACTTCTAGCACTGCCAACCGCAACCGCCTGTCTACGATTTGTTATATATGAACAAAACCAGCGATGAAGGTCACCACGTATCCCTAGAAGTTGGAGCTTATGTAATAGGATGGTGTGATCCACTCTGTCGAAAGCCTTCTCAAAGTCTGTGTAAATTACATCAACCTGTGCACCACCATCCATACTTTGCAGTACATAGTTCGGAAACACGGTTAAGTTGGTTATCGTAGAACGTTTATTGATAAAACCATGCTGTTCATCGGGAAGTGAATTACTTATTATATTGTGGATGGCTTTATAAATTATCTTTTCAAAGACTTTACTGAAAGTATTAAGTATCGATATTGGTCGATAATTTTCAATACTCAACCGCGAGCCACTCTTATGAATAGGTATTATTTTAGCTATCTTCCATACATCAGGATAAATGCCAAGTTTTAATAAGCTGGAGAAGAGAATTATTACGAAATTGAAATGATGTTCTGAATCTATTACAAGAGGCTAGTACTCGGAAAACATTCACATGACATGATGATGTATAAGGCTGCTAAGCCTAAGATTTAAATTAATTCTTAATCAAACTTCGAAAATGGAAAAAACCATAAAGCTTTTATTTTATCTGATTTGATCAAGTTATCACGTTAATAAAGCTTTCGTTATATACGGGATTAGCGATAAATAACTTGCTATTATTTAGTACGAAATAAATGAGTCTAGACTTTTTAATAGATCCGGACTTTTAGGACAGACATTTACTTTGCTAATCTTAACGATTAATGCTCGTCGAATCATCGCTCTATTTTTTATTTAAATGTTTTTTTCATGAAATACAATTGGGAGACACATTACCTTCTTAGAATCTCAATAAGAATGCTTTATTGTTGGAGAGCCTTTTTACCAAGGACGATGATGATTTTCACGAAACAAAAATATCTCTACATTTGAAATTATCCAAAGGTTTTCAAAAATATTGCTATAGCTAAATGGCATTTTATTTTCTTTTCGGATAAATTCAAAGGCTTAACGCCGTAACGAGCTCCAAAAATGTTACTATTTATAAGGATTTCTTGAGACGTAAACCAATCTTACTTTAGGCCCGAGTAACCCTTCGTAATAGAAACTACTGGTAAGCCTACAATTTGTCACTTCTCAAACACGTTACGAGTTGGATTTTATAAAATAATGTTAAGGTTAAAACTCAATTAATTTAAATTGAAATAATTACATCCCATTCAATTGACGGATCATTCGATCTGTGATATAAATAGAAAATGCTTGTTTTTGTTAATACTGCGATTTTATTTGATATATTTAGTTATAGAATAAGGCAGAAGGAATATTTTTTACTAAAACCTATTTCTTCAACCAATTTGAACGCGAAAGGCGAAATATGTTAAGGCAGCATTTAGTTTAAAAATATTTAATCGTACTATGAGTCTGCAGTAGATCTCTATAAGACGTTACCCTTGACACGGTCGTGGTGGGTCAGCCAACTTAACAGAACTAGGAAGCGAATAGTCAAATCGAGCCAACTCCTAACGGAAAATAGGTTAAGATTGGAAAATACATATATATAACAAGATACTTCACTTCTATCACTTTACAACGCCCTCAAGTTATACAATTTAATTATTTCTCTGTTATACAAAGGATACCAGAAGGAAAGGATGTTTCATAGTTTCCTTGGCAACTTCGTTTCAAAATTTATATAGTATTTTGACATTTGTTTTATTTCTGGTTTTTTTATTAGAACTAAGTAATCTGTTTAAAATTTATAAAAAAATGGCTAATTACAATCACCCGATGGGCGTAATTGTATTTGAATATACTGTACAAAACAAACATACAAGAAAGAAAAAGTAAATGCAGTCTCTTCCTCTATTATTATGATGAAAAAACTTATTTATGCCGTCAAACCGTAACCATCAAGAGATAAAAAGAAAAGCGATCGGCAAAGTTTTCGCCAACAAATGCCGCAGAAGAATGCGATTGGACCAGTCATGCTCCTGTAATCACCGGCCTATTGAACATATTGAACATACTCATTCTATTATGTAGCGAGCGTACATTTTACACGCCACATTGACTCGTTCGGAAATGCCACTATTGTGATAATCTATATTGATTGATTACAAATGGAACACACAGAACCTGCAGTTTGTCTACGTCGTTATGATGTACCTATATTGAACACCTAAATATATATATATTAAGCTAGTACTTCTTCGAAGTCGAAATAAATATTAGAACTGCCATTAATCTCATTTATGGCTACTGCTCGATTGAATTATGCCTGAATGGGTTAAAATACGACATCCTTTTCCGGACATCCTGTCTTCGACAGAACTAATATTTGTCTTTACGTTACGACATATGGCGGAAGTAAATTGTACACGAACATTGCCTGAGTCATAATGCCAGATAAATACTTTATAAATGTTCATATGATTCATTTACATCTCATACAACTACTATGTTGTAAACCTATTTGAAAATTGTAAAAGACAGGTGTCTCATTCTCTCTCTCTTCATTAATCTTAGGTACCCTCTAGATAGCTAACAATTGATATATATTATTATGTTTGTTGCAGATTAGCAGTATGGCAGATGATTGGAATGTCACCGAGGACTTAGCATCCAACGTCATACCTAGCGAATTATCCAAGTGAGTCATTTCATCTAAAATTAAATGTCTCTATCTAGGATTCTATACGTGAATGCATTGATTTGATTAAGGTTTTGTTGTCACTTGGTTAGCGATGGGAAATATATTCACACAAATTTGTAAGTTTGTAATGGATATATTACGAGTTCCAAAATGACAACTAAAGACGTGACAGAACTCTTTAAATTATTTTTATGTATCGAACGCTTAAAGATTTGGAGCAAATGCAAATTTTCTTTGACCACTGTTATCCTGCTGCCATTTAGGTATTTTAAGCATCTGCATGCAAAGTTGTACATTATAAGCAACACAACCTTAAACACGAAGAAAAGTATTGTGAATCTCAATTGTGATCGGTACGTCTTTAGACTTTGTAAGAACGGAGGAAGAGCAGGCCCCCATTTATAAATACAAATTGTATTTATTAAAAGGCGCGTAAAACTCTTTATGCTAAATGAAACGGCTCTTAAATGCATATGAATGAACGTATTCATTGAATTTTTCTCAATTATTTCAACCGTATTAATAAAGCAAAGGAAATGTCTTATTCAAACTGAACCGCGAGCAGTGAGCACAATACACTTTTGTGGTGTAGCTGTCAAAGGAAATCCTGCACTTTTGTTTGAAAACGCATTCATGTTACAGTTCCCCGGAGACCAACATACATCAAATGATTTTTAGCATAAGTACCTACTGATCCACGACAGCTAAAAGCTCTTATATATATCTCTCTATTGCTATATCTAATTCATTATATTAACAACGTAACATCTGTTTTAGCAGAGGAGGTAAGGTAATACTTATGTGAGACAGCCAAGACATGCATTTTTTTTAAATCTACAATGACAGCGTATTTAAGAAATGACTAAAAATACTTTATAATGTTCCAGATTCTCACCAGGTCTTCTCACCTTCGCAGCTGTGGTTACAGGCTTTATATTGCTGGTGGGTCTCTTTGGAAACTTACTCACCGTGGTCGCTCTCCTTAAATGTCCTAAAGTGAGGAACGTCGCGGCTGCTTTTATTATTAGGTGAGTATTCAATGAATAGTTTTATTTTGACTGATATTCTTTATTATTACTAATGTACTCGACGGTAATCAGTTCCTTTACGTTGCAAAGAGAATGTGAACTCCTCTCTCACTTTATGAAGTCTTTACATCAATCTCGTGGCAGAAATGGGTCAAACATGACGAGCCGTAATTAAACATTTTTGAGGGGTGTGTAAGTGTTTGTGGGACGTTTATTGTGTACTCGTACGCATGCGATAATAGTTGCCGCACACTACACCGCGTGAAGAGGCGCTTTTGGCCTTTTAATTGAGAGATTTTTTTAAATATCCGAGATACTTTGAAAAACTTTTAACTGTCGAAAAAGTTTGTTAATTTTATTAGCGTTAAAAATAAGGTCTTGTATTAAGTGGTAAATAGCACAAAGGAAGCTTCTTTGTTTAAGTACATGAGAGCTGTCGCATTGCTATCGTTAAATTCCATCCTATTGTGCCTCCCGAGTGTGGCATTCGTATAGTAAAGTCGTAAAGTCTAATTTATAAAGCAGTCAACCTATTTTTTTTTAACTTAATTAACATTTTTTAGTGATTAGTGGAGGTGCAATATGTTATCTACAATAGAGATATTTATATTTTCTATTGCTCGCACACTGTTCCTAAACGTTCCCAAATCTGGTTATGCTAAAACTTTGGCTACAAACTGATATAAATTGCTTTAATTGAAGGTTTGATAGGAAGGATTACATTAGAATTATTTTCAGATATTAGAGGTTAGGAACGGCCCTGCCAGTGGCTCTCTATCACCCACATTTTTCTGTGTCAATCTTTAAATGTTTTTCGACACCATAGAGGTAGTTCAGTAATAAAATACCTATTCGTTTCAGCCTATGCATCGCAGACTTCCTGTTCTGCGCCATGGTGCTACCCTTTGCTATTTCCGGATTCTGGACGCGCACGTGGTCCCACGGAGGCGCTCTCTGCAAACTGGTGCCCTTTCTACGCTACGGGAACGTCGGTGTCTCACTTCTCAGTATAGCACTCATTACCCTGAATAGGTGAGATATCATACATTTTAAGTTACAAAACAATCATTTTAATATATTAAAACTAATCCTACATCTACCAAACAGTTGTATACTCGAAAACCACCACGCATTTTTATTTGTTTATAAAGTTTCTGTTATATATATAGGTACATATAAACAATATTCTTAACACAACTGTCATAGACACGTAATGTGATATTCACTTACATAGTGTGAATACAGCCTTTCTTAATAAGGCTTCGGTGAGTGAGGTGAATAATGTTGTTCTTACGACTTACAAGTATGTCAAGAGCGCCGATAGGTCATTTTTAAATAATTGTGTCATCGCAATGTTTAAATAACTTTATATTCATTTAATAAATAAGCTTCGATATCCATACTCGAATAGCATCATGTTATTGTTGGATCTTATATTTCATTTCAAATGATCTGCTAATTTAAGATAATTTATATGTTAAAGGGATATATATACAACTTCGGGTATATCTAATGTTAATTATTGAATTGTGTTTCTCTGACATATAAAACAATAAACATACGCGTACAAACTGATGAGCATTGATCGAAATTCTTTTAAGGCGAAAAAAGACAAATTCTGTATTATTTTCATGAATAAAATAATAATAAAACACTGGAAAGTTTAGATACATATTGGGGGTATTGAGAGAACTCGTTCCAAAGTAATTTTGAACGATTGCCATACGCAGTCAAATCATTCATATTTTTTAGACAAAACTATTTCACTCAGTCGTCAATTTCTCGGCTAAAAATAATATTTTTTAACAATATAACAAAGTATTTGTCTTCATTGATGTATGCGTATGCAATTGTCTATGTTGGGAATGAAGAATTGTGTATAAGAAAATCTTTTTCTTTTGTGTTTTCTTTTTTTCATGCTCATCTGCATGGTTTCCATACGAAAATAAATGATTAAGTACATAATAATAACTATGTCCATATTCATAAACAAGGAAGGATCCGCTATTAGTGAATAAATATGTCGTGCAGTTTAATATATTAGTTAAGTTTATTAACTGGCTTTGAGTTCTTAGCTCAAAGGCTCGAATTGTGCCGTACGAGCAGTTGTCGAAAGACACATCACCAGCTTAGATCACTCTTAAAACGCACGTATGATTTTTCTTTTAGCATTAGAGGTTCATAAAGCGGAGGCACGTATTGTGGGTAAGGGATAATATGTAAACAAGTTCTATGAAAAACCTCGTTATACTTTCACACAAAAATGTAATTTTGTCCGTCGACTCTGAACAGAGCTGGTATTCGCCTTTCATCTAAAATTATAAAACAGTTTACAAACTACGCTCCGTCTACATACCTTTGACAAACAAATAATCTTACAAAATTTCGCTGCAGTTTTAGACCTGGGAATAATTATAATTCATCAGAAAAACAAAAAAGTTTTGATGTATATATAGAATAATAACCTTTCGTGCGCAAACATTTTATTAAGATTTATAATTTAATACTATAGTAGCCTTTAGCATCCATCCTGTTCTGTCTATGCAACTAAACAGTAAATAACTGTATTAAATTTATTCATAACATTCGTTAAACAACTGACGTCAGGTACTCGCTAACGAAGTTTTCTCGTAAACGGCATGACAACCGAACGACGTGCGAATCACTTATCGGTCAAAATGAAACATTGTATTTTGCGTAATTTCAGATATATAATGATAGCGCATCACAGCTGGTATTCCCGCGTGTATCGAAAGCACAATATTGCCCTCATGATAGTCTTTTCCTGGATGTTCTCCTACGGGATGCAGATTCCCACCCTTCTCGGAGTTTGGGGTGAGTCTACCGATATTGTTAGGCGAGAGCCACGTGTCTTATGAAAGTAATACATGACGTATAATAGGATAACGGACGATTAGCCCAAAGCCTATCACGTTTCTCTAATTACTTTAACCCTCGAAGCCTCGGGGACACATTTACATTTCGACGATTTGCAATTTATTCCGATTCTCATGTGGCGCTCTAGCTGACGCAGGGTTCTAAACTTTTATTAACTTCTAATTACGTTAAGTTGTAATACAAGTTGAATGACTCATCGAAACTGAAAGTTGTTAATTGCCGGCCATCGTGAGTTCACCGTATTCGAACAAGAGGCCGGAACTTAAGCCGAAAAGTCTGTCCCACGAGTTTATGCCTTGAAATCGTTACCTTTTTAGGCAAATTCGACTACGACGCGGAGCTGGGCACCTGCTCCATAGTGGCCGACGACAGAGGCAGGTCGTCGAAGACCGCTCTCTTCGTCATCGCCTTCATAGTTCCCGCTCTGCTCATCTTCATCTGTTATGCGAGGATATTTTGGGTAGTCCATAGGTGAATATCGAATTCTCTTCATCGGGTTTAGACTCTGCAGAAACTCAGTTTGCTCAGATCGAGAAATTTGTAGTGATTGAGGTTCGAATTATATTCAATTGAAAGTTGAAATAAATAGGTAAGGATAATAAAAAAAATAGAATTTTATGGATGTCAGACGGCCCCCACCTTATCTTTATGGGACCGAAATAAATAGCCTTTGAGGTTTTCATGCTTTATTTCATTTTACGGCCTCATAAAATCGCAAATATTTTATCTAGAGCGTTGAGGTATTGAGTCCTTTGCCACTATTTAATCTGACAGGAAAAGTACACTTTTCCGTAGAAAGTGTAATTTACAAAAACTGTCAAATGTATTCTTGCCTGAAATTTTTTTGCGAGAGTTCTCACCGGGCAACAGTGACACAAATAATCTTTCTTCTTCTTCAGCTCCGAACAGCGCATGCGGGAGCACCATAGATCGCAGACCATCCAAGGCACGCTGAACAACAGCAGCGACATCAAGCGATCCACCATAAAAGACTCGAGAGAGACCAAAGCCAGAAGGAACGAGTGGAGGATCACGAAAATGGTCCTCGCCATTTTCTTGTCTTTCCTCGTGTGCTACCTGCCCATCACCATCGCGAAGGTGGCCGACAGCCACGTCCACTACCCCGGTAAGCGTCTGCTCTAGAGCCTCCTCGTCGGCCGATGGCGCGTCGAACGTTCGCTTAACCGATTCCCTGACGCAGTGTTCCACGTGGCCGGCTACCTGCTGCTGTACGCCAGCGCCTGCGTGAACCCTATCATCTACGTCATCATGAATGCGCAGTACCGGGCGGCGTACGCGGCCGCCCTCTGCTGCCCCCGAGGCCACGGTCGCCTCGCCAGCGGTGCGTATCCCCCTCCGCCCCCCGCCTCCTCGCCGGGGGACACCTCCCACCTGCGGACCTGACCTCCGACGCCCGACTCGTAACTGGTGGCCGATTCTTTTTAGAGAAATGGAACGAGCGTCACGGCTACAGCTTCAGCAACACGCGCACGGCGCTCAGTCAGGTGTCGCTGGGGGACTCCAGGGCGGAGCCTCGAGGGAGCTCCGCTCGGACGGGCTAGGCCTCCGCCGGTTCGCGTCCCCGGGCGGCCGAGGCGATCCCACCGATCTTTCCGCCCTTCCCGATTTCTCTCCGAGACTCCGCAAGGACCGAATCGGACTCTCATGACGGCTCGTCGGCCTCAGAGACGAAGCCCGAGTCGGTTTCGTGGATCCGACCTTCGCGGGCGACCTCGCCCTTCTCGGTGAGTGTTCAGGCGCAGCCTCTGCGTTTGCCATTCCAACGATATTATATAATTATATAATTATACCTGCACATTCCAATGTGACATATACAGAGATTTATTATTAGCCAAAGAGTAGATTTATCATTGTGAGTGTGTGTGTGCGTAATGGGTGTAGATTTGTTAATTGTGTGATATAATATAAATAACATTTTAAATATGTTTAATCCCTCTCCCGGCTGTATATTGTTTATTTTTTCACGTGGATTAAAGTTGTTTGTCGAACGTGTGTAGAGTAGAAGTAAGCAATATTATAATATGTATATACAATCATTAATTTATTCAATTTTCAGTAATGTGTATACTTTGCCATAATAATATTACGACGTGACATATTGTTTGTGGTGTCGCTTAAGGCAATTTTAAAAACGTTGTTCAATTATTAGATAAATTAAAAATGTTATTTTGACTCTCTATGGTTGTTTATTAAATAAACTGAGATAATTTTGGGCCTTTTATTATTAACCTTTCCCGTAAGAAAGATAAGCAACTAACCTTAGTGCTGCATAATACCGCACTTTAACATTGCTCCGTGACTTCGGTAGTGAATGTCCAGCGAAACGTCTAGTTCAGATTGGCAAGTAAACTGAGAGAAAGACGGTTCACCCGCTTGCTTACGAAAACAATGTTAGTAAAACGAATACAGAAGTCTTAAAAATATTGGAAACCATCTGATTAGCGATTATAAGTATGGCTTTCGTCGTGGTCATTCATCGGGTACCTTCTTGTATACCTTACACATAGATGAGCAGAGGCAATTGTGTCCACGGGGGAGGTGCTAGCGGTAGTTTGGATATAGCAAAAGCCTTCGATCGGGTGTGGCATAAAGCGCTTCTCTCGAAGATTCCAGCCTATAGGATCCCTGAGAAATTATGCAATTGGATTTCCACTTTGTCATTGATCGGAGCATCAATGTCGTCATCGACAGAGCAAGTCCGACCTTAAGCCGTGAACGCTGGGGTCCTACAAGGCTGTGTCCTATTCCCGACCCTGTTTTTTCTGCATATAAATGATATGTTGCAACTTAGCAACATTCATTGCTAGGGACAGGACTAGGGATACTCTTTTCCGGCCAGGGAGCCGAGCAGTTGTCGATGAGTACCGGAACAAACTTGTGTCTGAAGTCGAAAATCAGCTACGTGAAGTCTCGGACTGGGTTACACTAAATAAAGTAGTCAATAAATAAATAATCTAGTCCAATTCAACCCCAAGAAGACACAAGTTTGCGTGTTTTCCGCTAAAAAAAACTTATTTGGTTGCTACTCCTCACTTCGAAGACACTCTCATTAAAGCCTCAGCTAGCATCGGAATAATATCGAATGACATTCAGTTTCGCGGTCATTTGGTGGGAAAGGCTAAGTCTCTAAGAAGCTTGGTGTGCTCAGCAAGGCGAGATGGTACTTCACTCCGAGCCACCGCGTACAACTTTATAATGCGCAAATTCGGCCACACAAGGAGTAATGTTTTCACCTCTGGGCGGGAGCTCCCTAGTACCAGCTCCTTCCGCTTTAACCGTATTCAACAAAGAGCGATTTGAATCTTCGACGATCAGTCCTTTACCGACGGCTTAATTCCTTGGCGTTGCTGAGAGATGTGGGGTCTCTCTGTATCTTCTACCATATTTTCTGCGGAGAGGGTTCAGACGAGTGCAATTGAGTTTCATCATCGGCCGTCAAGGCAGATTACAAAATACAATTCATAATATTACCGCGAATTGTATCATACTCACAACTAAACGTTTCGTAAGGCAGTCTTGCCAACCACCACCACTATGTGGAACCAGCTGCCCGCTGAAATATTTCCAAACCAATTCGACTTAGGGTCCTTCATGGGCGTCGGTATCGGCTTCTATCAGATGAGTCTCCTGTCCGTTTGTCTATACTTAATATATTCTATAAAAAAATCTGGGGCTTAGTTTCGCAAAGGGGTATAAGTCCAAAAAAATATCTACATTTTACTTCGACATTGGAAATTTATTAGAAACTATTTATTTATAACTCCTTTATGTGTGAATGTGTCTGATCTGAGCTATTTAATCGTTTCGTATTTGCCTATGCAGCGTATAAGCCGCGAGTAGTCTTCAGACGCGACCGGTGTCTGTGTCGGACAAGATTGGCGAAAACAGTATGCAAATGCATGTTATTCTTCTTAATGGTGGGCCTCGGCTTAGTATCCTAGCTACAAAATAGATAAAAAATTCATCCGATTCGACCGTGTCACGAGCCACGTTAACTCTCAGCATTTTATTTCATCACTGTTTCATTACACCATACGCTTGCGATGGCAGTGCCAACAATGCAACTTAATACATACTAAATACTAATGATATTTTGTTTCATAACAAGCGCACTAGCAATTTGTACATTGAACATTAATAACATATGTAATCTGTGCGTTGCTAAGAACGTACACTATCAGCTATCATTGTCAAGCCCCAAATAAATGTTAACTGTCACTTGACAGTAGTATTTACTTCAAAAAAATCACAGATTTTCAATGCAAACTCTGGGATATAATACTTAATAGTAAAAAATACTTGTATTTACAAAATAAATATCTTTTGTTGCTATTAGAACCTAAAAAGTAAGACTTACCGTAAATTTATTACAAAACAATGTGGTTTCAGAGATAAAACACATTAAGAGTGATATGTTTGAACAGTATTAAGGGTAGAAAAAGTAGCAAAGATGGATGTGGTCGGTAGCGAGTGTAAAATGGGCGTAAGTTTCAGAAATGTATTATAATAAGTATAATTTCCAACTTTATAAATAGCTTGAACCAAAATATTATTCATAATATCTCACAATTTTTACTTGGCTTATAAAAAAATTAATTATTTATTAATATTAATCTTTACTGAGTTAAGTATATTATTTTAAATATGTTACTTTGATTTATCAGGTGTGGTAAAATTTGTTTGTAATTTATAACGTGGCTTGAGGGATGGTTAACATAATGCCCTGGTGGTTGGTCTCTCTTTTGTTGGTACTATATTTTAATATAATTTATAAATTTAAATAATTGAATGGTTTTAAATAAAAATACTAATTAATAGATATATAAATGTGAATATTTTCTTTTTACTTAAACTATATTTTCAGTCTGCATTAGGCGGGATTGGCTGTGAACTGGATACTGTGTTATAGTAGTAAATAATAATAAATACTTTGTTTATGAAAATTTCAGTATTTATTTATTATTAGGAATTAAAAGATGTTTAAATATTTCTTCAGATGGTGAACCTTCCTGACTATGTAATGGTGATGGTTGCTAACAAGCAGCACTCAGGTGCAAATGGAGGGGATGACCTACAACTATTTTCTTGCAGACAGCACCAAGAGCTGTTTGTGAATTAGTTTGCTCCAGATTTCAAAGAAAGTGCAGGAAGTTACAGTTCTGCGGCACCACTAAGTATGTATTTCTGTACATTGAATTATAGTTAACCGGTTGAGCATGCATAGGTCGCGGGGTAACATGGACATTCCTCTATCCTTAGCGCCATGGGGGTGCCTGGTGGCCTCGAGGTAAAGACATATTCAAACCATTTTTTTCTGCTACATACTAGACCCACTATTGGTTTTAATTGCCATGTGACCGGCACGGCGTCGGCGAACAATACTTCGCATTGGGACAAATGTACCTAGATACTTTGCTGAAAAACTCAAAACATTATAAAAACGTAGCAAAAATAAAACTTCGTTCTAAAATGCTGGATATTGTTGCTCAGAAGGCAGTCTGCATTGTTTTTTAAAGCTTAGATAAACTGAAAGTGTGTGTTGTGTTGTACCAATATTGCTGAAAAATAAGGAGGTATCTTTAGAAAAACTTGGAAATTGCAGAGTGTAAAAGTTCGGAAAATCCACAAGTATGCGTTACAACTCCTTCAACGCTAGAAATATTCATATTTAGCCACATACTTTTGACGATAATACAATAAAGTTGATAAGATGTCAGAAAGAAAAACAACAAAACATGCAACAGGGTTCTGAGTTATATGGGTGGTAAGCCCAAACCGTTTTACGGTCATTTTTACGACGATTACGATTTTTTTAAATCGCCCATTTTACGGTTCTCCTCAATGGCAGAAAAGGCTCCTGTTGGTCACTCATATCTCCAGTTCCTTTGGATTTATTATGATCCAATATGATCTTTCGGCTTCGAATCTGTTTGCCTTTTTACTCTACCACAGCAAATTTGTCGAAAGCAAAAGCACGTCCCTCTTATCCTTCCATTTTAACACCGTCACTCCGTCTTCATTCCCCAGTAGCCATTATTTTATCTTTCTACAGTTCTAAGATTCGCAACAGCCTAATCCTTTTTTTGTTTCGCTAAGTGCCAATTAAATGGGTTTGATTCTCCAATAACCTAGTTCTAAACTTGTGTACCAGTTGTCAGTTGCAGAAGTAAGTATAACCTAACGTCTTTTTCTTTTCGGTATTTGCAGCTGTTCGCTGTCTGATTCTGATGTGTCAGGTGTTGTTTCTCGAAAGGGTTTGTTATGACCCATTCTGTGTAAATTCTAATTCCTCAAGCTTAGCCAATACCCTAGGGGCTGGGGGTTGTGATCTTGCAACCTAAGTTAAGAAGTTCGTTAAGTAACGAAAACAAATTTAGTAGGACAGTAATAGAAAGAGTAAAGCAGAGGCTTAATCCATCCTGTAAACGCTAGCATAGTAACCCTGGTGAAGTGTGTACGGGGAATAGCGGTGGCCGGCGTCGCATGGTAACGGAAAATGTCTTTTCTGTATTTGTGCGCCATGGTGCACCAGTGACCTCAGTTATATATTTGGCTATAACTATGTAACCCATGGGCGAATTTAATAAAACCAAATTTTCTACATATATTATCATAATAAACAAATTACAACAAAAAGTTTTTTTACATTTTTCTCTTTTCCTATTGTCGTTAATTGTGTTAAAATAAACATTTAAAATATTTGTTGAAGCTTGTGGAGTTTTCTATTATAATAAATATATTTTAAACATAATTTCAGAAATTGACAAACAAAAACAAAAAGAAAGATCTGCATCAAAGACGAAAGTCAGGAAAAGAAAGACAAGTCAAAAGGGTGATTTTTTTAAAAATCTTAAAAAGAAAGAAAAGAAAAATAACAAGAAAGAAAAAAAGTTACAAAAAAATAAGAAAGAAAAGTTTGTAAGAGCCATGAGCGGATCCACTTAAATATTTCTATAACTTTAAATGAATATTGGAAAAAAAAATTCGGAACCCTCAGCCAACTGATGTTTTGCTGTTAAAATCCTCAAAAATCATGGAGTTAACCTACGATAATTACAAAGATGACATTAAGTTAAGAAACTAAAACCTTAACTAAAAAGATGAGAGGCGGATTTTACCAATAATAGAACCACTTCATATTTGAATGGACTAGTCCAACAGAACCACATTTACTCAAATTCGAATGAAGTGCCGAGAGAGAGTGCGTTGAAAGAAATGGAATGAAATTGAAGCCAAAATACAAGGGTTAAAGCAGAAATTGGTGGAGCAGTTAGATTCTATGTCCGATGATGAAGACTTTTTGACAATAAGAACTGAGGCCGAAGAGCTTATGAATGATTTTGCCGAGGATCTCTTTCAGGTGACCTGGACAATCTCTTTTTGTGTCTCGGAAACTGTCATGATTCCGATGGTGTTATATTTAATTGTGCAGGAATTTTCAGGAAATTAGTCAACCAACAAAAAGCGGCACTCGTCGGCTGGAAATACTGATTCAAAAAAATACAAAATCTATCCCGAAGGAACCGACGGACCGACCCGTCGAGATCGGGAGAATTTTACGGAACGTTTAAAAAGACAGTTCGGCGGTCGAAGTTTTAAGGATCCCAAAGACCCCAGGAGGCGTTGCCCCAAATCGGGTGGAATCTCCCGAAACGCCCAAAAATCAGGGAACGGCTCGCTCTCGGAGATCCGGCCAGGGATTCGGATATCGAGACGGGCAAACGAAAATCTTTCGACCCCGAAGGTCAGTTTGCGAATACGTTTAAGTTTATTTTTTCTCAAGAAAGGCTTCTTCGCAGGCTAGCTGCGCATCGATTTTATCATTCAGCTTCACTCCAGAAAGAGACCGGCGGAAGCGAGTCAAGACCAGGAAGGCGGTTGACGGAAGCGCTAGAGCTCACTTCCAAGTAAGCGATGCCTGCACTCGCTGGAGTTGTTTCACCCGAAGGCGCGGCGGGATGTTTAATGTGTGTGTGTCCGCAGAGTGTGCGTCCGGCGTGAGAGGCCGACCTCGTTGCGCCAGGCTAACGCCTCCGCCTCCAGCCTGCTGCTGAGGGCCGTCGCCGAGCGCGCCAAAAGAGCCTGCTCAGCGTGAGTCCCCACTCCACTCGGTCGAGATCCGTCCGCCGAACGATGAGCGCGACTGAACTCCTACGTCCGTTGCAGATTCCCCCCAAAGTGGAGACGGAGCCGTCCAAAGTGAAGCGGGCGTTGGTGCTGCCCATGCGCCGCTGCGTCGATCCCCAGAAGATCGTCATCCGCGTGGCCGCCGACGGACGGACCGACGAAGCGCAGTGAGTCATCCGGAGCGTCCGTTCGGAAGCACGAGCGGGAGCTTCGCGGGTGTGCTTCAAAGGAAATCTCACCAATGTTGCAGTAGGTTCGTGAGCAGCACGAGGGCGAAGGACGAATACTCTCCGATTCCCTTGGCAAGAGGATCTCGAACTCGACCTCATTACTCAGGCGATTTTTGCCTCACGCCCTCGCCCTCCTCCGCCACCGCCACCGCCTCCGCCTCCCGCCGTGGAGAGATTCGCGCCGTAGTCGAATCCATGTAGTATTGTTTTTTCATTATTTTTAAGAGTCGTGAGCTTATTTAATGCTCTGATTTTTTTTTTTTTTGTGTTTGTTTTTTTGTGTGTTGGGGGTTTTTTTCCCCTTCGCTTTTTTGCTGTTTTTCTCTTTTTTGGGGAAAAATAAAATACAATTTTTTGCAGCCTTGCTTTTGGCGGGTGTTGTTTGTGTTGCGTTGCCCGTTTTTTTTTTTTTTTTCTGTTTATCGCATTATTTACAGTACGAGTTCCGCTGTGGCACTAGTGCTGCGGGAAACGACTCGAAGGGTGAGTGGATGTATGTGTATGGCGGTGATGTTGCAAAAAGAAAACACAGTTCGTTTTTGGTTCCAACGTTTTTCGTTCTGGAAATTTCGACCTGCAGAACAAGCCCCGTGGACGGCCTGAGACCCAGGACTGATAATGAAGTATTGAAGGCTATTGTGGAGACGGATCCATCGCACGTCATCGAGTTAGCTGCAGGCTGCGGTGGTTGTCGAATCGAACTGTTTTAAATTCACTTGAAGCAAATTGGGAAAGATTAAAAGCGAAGATGGGTACCTCTCGAATTAAACCAAAACAAACCAGCAGCCGTCGCCCCGCGGGCGCGTTACGTTGCCTTGGGTGCCGGCACAATGAATGTAGCGTGAAAAGTATTTCCAAGCCGAGTCGTTTGAGTTGTGATGAAAACCAGATTCTTTACGATAATCGGAAGCGCTCAGCGCAATGTGGTGCGATCCTGGCCAGCCAGCCAAATCTACTTAGCAAAATTAACTTTAAAAGTTACTTGTAAAGCGTTTGGTGGACTAAGTGCCGGTATTGTTCATTGCAGTTTTCTCAAATCTGGCCAGACTATTACGGCTGATGTCTATGTGTCAGCAATTGCAGCAGTCCAAATCGCCTTCACAGATTTTATTGTTCCCGTCCGACTTTTTTTAGTAAAGGGATAAATGAACTACCTGTAATGTAAAAGTGCATGAAAACAATGGATTCATACTTTGATTAATTAAATATATTATATTTAAAAATATTTGACCTTTGATCATCATACAAAACATAATTTCATATGGCTTGTAAGGACATATATTTTGAGTAAGAGCAGCTTTCCCTTCTGGGGTTAATGTAACCCCTCGTTAAACCAAAAAGCGACGCTACAGAAGCTTATGTCTATGTCTGGGCTTCAGATTTATGAATTCTGTTTCATTACCATTTTTTATAAAGGCCTTCTGTGCCTGACGCGCGTTTTCGTTTGGGTGAGAGGGAAAGGTACTTTGTGGGGTAAGCGGGGGGGGAGGGGGGAGAAAAAAAAATAAGAATAAAAAAGAAGTAAAGAAAAAAAAAAACAAGTAGTGTATGTGGAGAGTTATATTAAAGGAAAAAAAAAAAATAGGCATTATGGACTGTGGGGTGTTTTTTTTTTTTTTTTTTGTGGAGTGAAAAAAAAATTAAAAAATAAGGAGGGGGGTTTGTTTTTAAAAAGAATAAAAAAAGTGGGTTTTTATAAAATTTTGGGAATTTTTACAATAAAAAAAGAAAAATATATTCGTGACAACTCTTTTCCTGTCACAGAGCCAATTAATTCTGTCAGAGGTATATACGGACAGACAGATCAGATTGCCCTAATTAATTTTGAATATTTTGTTTTTGGCATGGTTTCTATCCATGCCATTTTCCATTTCCCAGGTATGGCATACACTATACAAGCAGAAATTGATTTTTTTTCAGAAACATTCACAATCCGACTGTCGACAAAGACAAGGACACGCAATTTATAGTTACAATGGACGGTTACCATCCGAACGCGTTCCTGGCCAAAAAGCTTATGACGGAAGGTCTATTAGATGACGACGACGGTCAATCAGAAAAGCTAACACCAGAAACGACGAAGGAAAAAGAAATAAACAAAAAAGATAAAAGTGAACCTGTGATGGCGTTAGATGTCCTAAAAACGGACGTCGAAATGGCACCAATCGACGACAAAGTGAACGAAAAGAAACCCGAAGTCGATAAGGAGCCGAAAGAGAAGGAAGGGCCCGTCTCGTCAGCCGTCAGTCAAAAGAAACGGTTGAGCGACACGAGCGAAGATAGCGGCACTCAAGTTATTATAAAACAGGAAGACGAGAAGGCAGAAAAGAGAAAGAGTGACGTAGAACCGAATGCGTCTCTACCGCATTCGGGCGTACCTGCGGTCAAAAAGAGAAGGGCATCGCCGATAGTCTTCGACGTCGACAAGAAAGAGAGAGACAGAGACGCGCGAAGAGAGAGGACGGTGAGCGCGAGCAGTGACGGTCAGTCCATCTCGCTGACCACCGTCTCCGACTCGCACAAATACGACGCGGTGCCTCCGCGTGAGTATTCCGAATGTTCCGCTTGTGTGGCCATTTTCATTATTTAGGTGTTTAGGTACAGCATCGCGTCGCCCTATTATCAATATTTATATATATATATAAATATATATATATAAAATAAAACGACATTTAAATTATCTCCTCTTTTTACTCTCCAACTTTTTTATCACCATCACAAAATCATCTCCATGTCAGGCGCCATTCCATCGCGCGTCACTACGATGCGTCACCTCCCAACCTTCAAATGAATGAAATGTTCATTACATAATATACTCCCCTCGACAGTGTCGCAGGTCATGCGAGGCTCGTGGTGCCGAGCCTTCCCCTCGTGCCGCTTCGGGCCTTCGTGCGCCTTCGTGCACCCTCGCTGCAAGTTCGCCGCCTCTTGCACGCGCCGAGGCTGCGTTTACGCGCACGACGCGCCCTCCGTCGGTTGGTACTTCGCGATCAACTTTAGATTTAAAGGCCGGCAACGCACTCGCGAGCCCTTTGGCATTGAAAGTGTCCATGGACGACGGTATCACTTAACATCAGATGAGCCTCATGCCCGTTTGACCCTTGTTCTATAAAAAAATAAAGTTCTCTTAACACATTTAATACAATTGCAGCCTCCCACGTGGTCCCCGTCGCGAACTTCAAATCCGTTTCGAGTTCGATTACCAACCTGTGCAAGTTTTATCCGAACTGCGCGAACCCTTCGTGCCACTTCTACCATCCGAAGCCCTGTCGCTTCGGGAAGGCCTGCGCGAACAAGCTCGAGTGCAATTTCTACCACACGGACGTTCCGGGAAAGATGTATTCTCTTTGAAACATTTATCATTAATTATATATATTAGGAGTCCTTTTGTGTTTTATTTCATCGGCCGAGTGCTCTTTGCTAGTGTGAATGTTTTTAACGGCAAATAATAATTAATTAACGCTTCGAAGTTAATGACGTTAGATAACGAATCAATCCAACAACAGAACCCGGATGTTTCTGATGAATACAAGTGGGATATTTCCCAGTCGTGAAAGATTAAAGCCAGACCTCCATACTTGGTGTCTGAAATACATTTTGTGCTCAAAATATGCAATAATTGGATTTACAATATTGCAGATAGCGTTGTAGAGATGATGTCACGACATGGAGTTTCTTTATTTTCCACAAACCCATTATTATTGTTTAATAATATTGGCAAATTGTGCTGCAATGTTGAGTATAAGTCAACTATTTGAAGGATCCTTTGATGCTACTGTTAAAGCCCGAATACGCCGTCTTGCGTCCAACGGAGACAATATTATTGAGTTTTTTTTACTCTTCGGTAAAATTTTATTTCAGTTATATTATGTTTTAATAAATTAAAAAAAACGCGCCTGTTAAAATGTAGAGCAAATGTCCGTACGAGAATTTTATACAAATATCTCGCTTTATCGACTACTAAAAGTCCATGATTTAGTTACGTGAATAAACTGTGTTATCTGTTGATAGTGCAACAAGATTCAAAATATGGGAAGTCACGGGTGGGACCATTTCTTGGCTAAGGCATGGTTTCCTTCACTTCACCGTACGACTCTGAGGTGGCGTGTATGCAGGTCACCGACTCTGAATAATATATTAGCAGAAAAACATGTACAATGATAGGTTAGGTTAGGTGAATAAGGTGCGACAGTAAGCGATGTGGTGATAAGTGGGGATAGACTGATGGCGTCTAACACTCACAGGAAACGTTAAATTTAAAATTAAACTTAAGCTACAAGCATTCGAACGGTATACTCGACGAGGCAGAAAGGCTACACCGTGCAAAACAAATGAAAAAATAAACTAATAAAAAATGTGGAAAACAATTTTCTACACCCAAAATCATCAAAGTTATTCTTGTTATCGCTTAAGGCTTAAAAAAAACATATCAGTTAAATATGTGTACGTATATGACTTACAATAAATCATTCTGTCACAAGCAATTGGAACCAATCGTCTGCCTACATTAGTAAATCGTTTGTAATTTGACAATAAATATTTCGGCGAACCTTCCACACTACAGTTTGCCTTGAATTTTTATTAGAATAGAAGTTGGTACTTCATCTAGGACAGATAGCAAAAACCAACTACACCTCGTAATTGAAATAATAAATAAATCAATGCTTTAAAAAATGTATGGTTATTTTATTTATCTACTATAATCTCCCGTATTTTATATCATTTGTCCAACCTAGTTCAGGTGCGGTCTTGTCGGAACCGCTACCATTATGTTTTTACTTATCAGTTTGACAGTTTCATGCGAGTAAAATACAATTTTCACGTGCTAAGCATGTCGTCAGTGCAGATTGTATGTTCACCATCGTTTTTATGAAGTGTAATTTCGCTGCGTCCTTTGATTTTTAGTTATTTTGAGTTCTTTTATCTTCTTGTGCATACCAAACCCGTCATACTTCCTATCTAACTCCTCAATTTCTGAACATAAATCCCCATACCAAGATTACTTTGCCTGTCTTATCTTTTGGTATGATGATCTTTTTTCCGAGTATATCCAAATCCAATCTATTCATTTCCAGTAAAAGATTATCCATTTTTCGATCTTCGTATAAACTGCGGACGTTCCAAGTTCCTATCTTCATGGCTGACCCGGAGAGTCTTCGCACCCTCTGACCACTTAAGGTCTGCCGGACTAAGGGGTATAAGTTATATTTGTTTCAGCCATAATTATATCCTGGGAAAAATTGATGTGTTGCCTTCCACATCGCTGTTTTCTGGTCCTACTAACTGCCCGTAGTCGAAAGATAATTATGCTTATTTACTGGCGGCATTGACTCGCCATGTCGCAAAGTTTTCACTGGATCTTTGTAATATTTCCTGGAAGAGCCTTTCCTAAGGGCTCTTTCAGGTGCCACACCGTGTATCGGGGACTGCATGAAACCGCAATATCTTACGGTCGTTCCACTGTCCGCTATCTGTGGACCCCGGTAGTAGCTCACACCTAAGTATTACCTGTATTACTGGGCTTAAGACAATGCCCAGGCAAACAGTTAACTCTAACTAGTGAAAATAATTAAAAATATTAAGTAATAGAAAAAGTTACCTGCAATTATTTCGCTCGGACTCTAGCTAATTTGAAATTTCCGAAACAATTTGGTACTTAATACATGCTCTTACCATGGTTTGCCGTCGTCATAAATATCTTATTTCGCATACACCGCGCATACACATTGCAATTAATTTAAAGTCCAATATCTTTTTGATATTTATACAAATTGTATTTGAGTTTTCCGATGGAATCTTATTTGCGAATATTACTCGAGTGCTCACATCACTAAACTAATGAATTAATGATAGACGATAGACTCGTCTCCCTATCATCCTGCTATCACTTATAGTCCAATTTCAGTACGGGGCCTGTAGCTCAGGGATCGTTTGATTTTTTATTATTATTTTAAAAGCTAAATTAAACCTACCTACAGATTATGGCGGTAAGTAGTTACTAACTTACTTGTTTTAAAATAATATATTAAAACTGAAACAAACCCTTTAAAAGATTAGAAATTAAAAATTTCGTCGCGTTTGTTACATATACAGGATATTGCTAATTCGACGTTAGAAGGTAGTAGGATATTTTATTTTCAGTTAGTTATTTTGCATTGTTTGAGACCTATGTTTTGGAAACCTGCAAGCCAAGTTTCGTAACGTTTTTTAAGGCAGTTAAGTTGAAAAATAATTAAATAATATCGTTTAGTGTTGTATTTTTAAATTTGGACCGATTATTGTTACTTTAATATTGATAAATAACCAATGTTTAATGGTTTTTTTATAAATCATAAGAAAAAAATAGATTTAAATAGACACGTGCTTTTGGAAAAAATTAATGTTGCATTGACTTATTTTGAAAAATAACAAAAACACGATATCTCAAAAACGGTTCAGTTTGGATTTGGGGTTTAAATAATCGCAACCTATTACCTCCTAACGAGAATTCCTAGAATTATCAATTAGCCTATTCGACAAGTGAGCGTTGTAGGAACAAAATATTTAACAGCTTTTAATTATTTTTGATATATTCCACCGCACAATTGGCGAATTTATTAATATTTCGCTAGTGAAAACCATCAATATATTGCTTTACATTATAAAGATAAGATACAAACCAATATGTATTTCAGTAACAAAGAAGTATTAAAGGTAAACTCGTGCTATTATTAACTAAGCTTTTTGTTTTAACACAGTCTAGTTTTAAAAGCTGTCCTATCTCTTTACAATAAAACAAGACCTCTAGGCTTTAAGCACACAACAGAGGTCGTTATTAAATGTACATTGGAATGTTCCTATGCACCTTTCACTGTCTAGGAATGTAGGCGGGATAAGGCTAGCTTGCTTTGTGTAATTTATAGTGGTCGGTGGCGCTTCAAATTCGATTAGGACCAATGTTCAAGGCTTTTAATGTTAGCTCATTGCGGAAGCGGACATTGCCATTCAGGAAGGTGTCGTAAATTACCAATTACAATGACTCCTATTCATTTTTTTAGAACTGCCCATGTATCGCACCTAGTACATTCACTATTCAATCTAAGTATTCTAGCTGGCACTGAGTGCCTCCTTACACTAGACACTTCTCTTTAAAATATTGGCTTACAGTAAACCATTCTTAATATGTTTATTAAAATATGAAGTTAGCAAATGTCAAGGGCAAACCTTATTTTATCTTGACCTATTCGAAAGTCGTGTTAAAAATAAAAAAAGTTTAATTACGTCAACTGTTCGGGTTTATACATAAACAAACACTATGTAACCTTCACTTGTGACGTGCTTTAATGATTCGTGGTCGCCGCGACTTCTCTCGTAATCTGCTCCGCGCTGTGGAAGCTTCTCAACTTAAAATAGACTTGGATAAAAGTAATTAAAAACTTATTGTACTATACCATTTTAAACGTACGATATTTAACATTCACAAGAATTTATGAACTACCATTTTCACGTGGATTTCCCCATTCAAGTTACGATAACTCAAACTCAAAATAATTTTATTTACATAGGTAAACAAGTACACTTATGAACGTCAGCAGAAAATATGTTTATTAATTCATTATTCATTATTAATTCAATTTACATTTACTACCAGTTCGCAAGTCACGGGCGTAGAGCGGCCAAGAAGAACTGGCAAGAAACTCTCTGCCACTCTTTTTAATCGCTAAGTTTTGAGTCATAAACACATTGTTTGAACTAGAGCAAAACAATCCCAAGAATTAGGATCAATTAAATATTCGTTAAATTTTAAAAAGTTTTATTGATTAATTTACGTTTAACGAGAGTTATTCAGAGATAATTCTCTAATTTCGCTTGTGAATTTGTTGTAAACACGAATACAATTTCCATATATGGAGTGGAGTTATCTTCTGGAGCCTAGTTGGTAGTATGTTTAGATTAGTTCTCCTTCGAGTATTATACTGGTGAAAGTCACCATTTGTATTAAAATCGCTTATCTTTTTTTTGTACAAACAACAAGGCTTCAAGAATATATTGACTAGATAGTGTCATAATATTAAATTCCTTAAACTTATTCGACTCCTTGGGGAAACACAACAAATACCCCGAACAGTCCGTATATACGAGTACAACATAATATCTACATCTACCTATAATACATCCGTATATTGACAGCAGCCGGATCAGCGTGGGTTTTCACAGGAAGTGGCTGCAGTTTTATTCCATTAAATAAATGCGGCTATTCCCAAGTTGTAAACGAGGTTCTCGAAGAATGCGTTAATAGTTGTTTAATGATAAACATCTTGGAGTAACCACACAATATCTGAGAATATGTCAGGTAACAGAAATAACTTGCC